TGCTAATGTTTATAAGGTATGTTTATAATATTCACTGTCCTATGCTGCATTCACATGGAATCAGGCAAACGGGAGACGGACAACACCTCCTTGATGGTACAGGTGAAACAAACAGTCCAACAGATAGTGGTGGGTAGAGCATTGAAAACTGTGATTGTGTCGGCTGCAGAGCATGGTGGTACTGTAGTAGGTGTGTGTTTGGATCTTGAGTTGTTCATTTAACCCGTGTCCTCCTCCTGATCTAACAACAAGGGTGATGAAGGTGTGTGTGGAGGCCAACAGTAAAAACCCCAAATACCTTTTTCTTCAGAAGAGTCAGAGCGTCACTGTCCTCTGAGAGCGCACTGAGACTCTGGAACAAAGTGAAACGAGTCACCCGGGGAAGATGAGCCAGTGGCTGGAGAACAGTTTCTGTCATCAGTAACTCTACAGGAGCAGTAACAGTGCTGTTATTAGCAACTGCAACACAGTCACATCAGTCCCACATGCATTTTAAAGTTTAGGTTTGTAGACTTTTGACCNCCCTCGATTACAAAATCTCCTTGTAGAGTCTAAGCACCAAAAACTGTCTGTCTAATGTTTATCATCACATCATCTGTTAATCTGTACACCTGTAATTTGTAATAAACATTATCTTAACTTCATTCACCTGTCTCTCCTGACTGAAATACCAGATGTTTTTTAACTGTGAGTTGAACTGTAAATTAAACAACGAAAAATCAGTTTTAAAGGTCAAAGTGAAAGCAGCTGAGGTGTCAGCAAAGTGTAAGTAACAAAAGTACTTGAAGTGTCAGAGACAGAGTGAGTTATTGACAGTTGATTGGCTCGCATGCTGTGAAATACAAGATGAAACAGAGCAAAGCAACAGTGTGAAAAGTGTTTTACATCTTATCGGACTGGGAGGGCTGAGAGGCTGTTCCTCCGCTTTACCACCAACATACTCAATGCGAGACCTGCAAGTAAATTCTGAAAGAATGAAAAGAGCAATAAATCATTAATCTGTGATCCTATTGATATAAAAAATAACAAATGCTGCAGGTGTGTAAACACGCTCAAACACTTTGAAGTTTTTGTTTGTAGACTTTTGACTTTGAATTGCAGGGAATGTAAAATCTGCACTCTCTTACCTTCTTGCATTTGTGGCAGGGTCTCCAAGGTCTCTTCAGTGGAGTCATCAGTGGAGTCATCAGATTCAGATGTTTCTGGTTCCAGGGCTACTTCGTCCACTAGTTCAAACACACACACACACACACACACACACATACAGATAAGACTTACTTTCTGTGATGAAAATTTGCAGTTGAAACATTTGAAATAGTTGAAATTCTAAAAAAAAAGGTTGAAGTGGAGTTGGCAGTCGCTTTAAGCTGCCACCAGTGGCAGTAACAGTGCTAAAAGGATGTCTTTATAAACAGGACAGCCTGCAAGGCTGGTCGGCACAGGTGTGACGTTTTGACGACATGTGCTTGTGATCCACTGTGGGAGATTTTTAAAGTAGCTGATAGCAGTTAGCAGCTAACTCAAACAAGAACAGTGGCCGTAAATGTCCATAAATTGGAAAAACACTGAGCTCCAGGGGCTCATTACCCTCTGAGCAGAGGATGAGATAATTTGTGTAGTTGTGCGCACACTCCATCCCCCAATCGCCACCTAGTCCTTGCAGATTCATCAGCAATTAGGGCAGATTTATAGTTGTGTGTCAGCTCTGTGCAGAGCCTATTCCATGTCACATGCCCCACTGCATTGTGAATATTTATACTTGTGCAGTTGTGTGTCTGTGTCGCTCTACAGTTACATCTCCAAAACACGAGTCAGCGGTTGGATTTCTGTGAAGTACAGTAAAGTTTGATTGATTCAAAACACACCAAAAGCGCATGGTAAACATGGCAGTAACAATTTTAAACACTAGTACACCGATTGGCTCCATACAACTCACAGGATTCACAGACAAACACTTGTCTTTATCTGGACAAATTTTCCCCACCAATACAACATGCTAATGATTTTAGCACAAGTCTATGACACTTTACATTGCTTAAATTAGCCTAGCAGCTAGCAGAGATTTCCTCTTCTCATATGAAGCCAGAGACAACAGCAACATTTAACAAAGGTAACGTTACAAAATTCAGCTCCATTACAACTCACAAGATTCGCCAACAATAAAAACTGTCTTATACTAAAGACATTTTCCACAAATAAAACATCGCTAGTGTTAATAGGTGCACATCTACGCAGAAGCTACGCTATAGGTACAACAGCGATTTGACATGGAAGTATAAAATCCTGCATTAGTCTCAGAGTCACCAGCCACCGCCACCACCAGTGTCTAGCCTTCATGGTGGATTTATCTTGCTGCTGCTCAGGTGTCCCTCGATTACAAAATCTCCTTGTAGAGTCTAAGCACCAAAAACTGTCTGTCTAATGTTTATCATCACATCATCTGTTAATCTGTACACCTGTAATTTGTAATAAACATTATCTTAACTTCATTCACCTGTCTCTCCTGACTGAAATACCAGATGTTTTTTAACTGTGAGTTGAACTGTAAATTAAACAACGAAAAATCAGTTTTAAAGGTCAAAGTGAAAGCAGCTGAGGTGTCAGCAAAGTGTAAGTAACAAAAGTACTTGAAGTGTCAGAGACAGAGTGAGTTATTGACAGTTGATTGGCTCGCATGCTGTGAAATACAAGATGAAACAGAGCAAAGCAACAGTGTGAAAAGTGTTTTACATCTTATCGGACTGGGAGGGCTGAGAGGCTGTTCCTCCGCTTTACCACCAACATACTCAATGCGAGACCTGCAAGTAAATTCTGAAAGAATGAAAAGAGCAATAAATCATTAATCTGTGATCCTATTGATATAAAAAATAACAAATGCTGCAGGTGTGTAAACACGCTCAAACACTTTGAAGTTTTTGTTTGTAGACTTTTGACTTTGAATTGCAGGGAATGTAAAATCTGCACTCTCTTACCTTCTTGCATTTGTGGCAGGGTCTCCAAGGTCTCTTCAGTGGAGTCATCAGTGGAGTCATCAGATTCAGATGTTTCTGGTTCCAGGGCTACTTCGTCCACTAGTTCAAACACACACACACACACACACACACACATACAGATAAGACTTACTTTCTGTGATGAAAATTTGCAGTTGAAACATTTGAAATAGTTGAAATTCTAAAAAAAAAGGTTGAAGTGGAGTTGGCAGTCGCTTTAAGCTGCCACCAGTGGCAGTAACAGTGCTAAAAGGATGTCTTTATAAACAGGACAGCCTGCAAGGCTGGTCGGCACAGGTGTGACGTTTTGACGACATGTGCTTGTGATCCACTGTGGGAGATTTTTAAAGTAGCTGATAGCAGTTAGCAGCTAACTCAAACAAGAACAGTGGCCGTAAATGTCCATAAATTGGAAAAACACTGAGCTCCAGGGGCTCATTACCCTCTGAGCAGAGGATGAGATAATTTGTGTAGTTGTGCGCACACTCCATCCCCCAATCGCCACCTAGTCCTTGCAGATTCATCAGCAATTAGGGCAGATTTATAGTTGTGTGTCAGCTCTGTGCAGAGCCTATTCCATGTCACATGCCCCACTGCATTGTGAATATTTATACTTGTGCAGTTGTGTGTCTGTGTCGCTCTACAGTTACATCTCCAAAACACGAGTCAGCGGTTGGATTTCTGTGAAGTACAGTAAAGTTTGATTGATTCAAAACACACCAAAAGCGCATGGTAAACATGGCAGTAACAATTTTAAACACTAGTACACCGATTGGCTCCATACAACTCACAGGATTCACAGACAAACACTTGTCTTTATCTGGACAAATTTTCCCCACCAATACAACATGCTAATGATTTTAGCACAAGTCTATGACACTTTACATTGCTTAAATTAGCCTAGCAGCTAGCAGAGATTTCCTCTTCTCATATGAAGCCAGAGACAACAGCAACATTTAACAAAGGTAACGTTACAAAATTCAGCTCCATTACAACTCACAAGATTCGCCAACAATAAAAACTGTCTTATACTAAAGACATTTTCCACAAATAAAACATCGCTAGTGTTAATAGGTGCACATCTACGCAGAAGCTACGCTATAGGTACAACAGCGATTTGACATGGAAGTATAAAATCCTGCATTAGTCTCAGAGTCACCAGCCACCGCCACCACCAGTGTCTAGCCTTCATGGTGGATTTATCTTGCTGCTGCTCAGGTGTCCCTCGATTACAAAATCTCCTTGTAGAGTCTAAGCACCAAAAACTGTCTGTCTAATGTTTATCATCACATCATCTGTTAATCTGTACACCTGTAATTTGTAATAAACATTATCTTAACTTCATTCACCTGTCTCTCCTGACTGAAATACCAGATGTTTTTTAACTGTGAGTTGAACTGTAAATTAAACAACGAAAAATCAGTTTTAAAGGTCAAAGTGAAAGCAGCTGAGGTGTCAGCAAAGTGTAAGTAACAAAAGTACTTGAAGTGTCAGAGACAGAGTGAGTTATTGACAGTTGATTGGCTCGCATGCTGTGAAATACAAGATGAAACAGAGCAAAGCAACAGTGTGAAAAGTGTTTTACATCTTATCGGACTGGGAGGGCTGAGAGGCTGTTCCTCCGCTTTACCACCAACATACTCAATGCGAGACCTGCAAGTAAATTCTGAAAGAATGAAAAGAGCAATAAATCATTAATCTGTGATCCTATTGATATAAAAAATAACAAATGCTGCAGGTGTGTAAACACGCTCAAACACTTTGAAGCTTTTGTTTGTAGACTTTTGACTTTGAATTGCAGGGAATGTAAAATCTGCACTCTCTTACCTTCTTGCATTTGTGGCAGGGTCTCCAAGGTCTCTTCAGTGGAGTCGTCAGGTTCAAATATTTTCAGTTCCCGGGCTTTCTCTACTACTAGTTTAAACACACACACACTCAGATAAGACTTAGCTACCTTCTCTGATGAAAATTTGTCTCTCCTGACTGAAATATCAGATGGTGTTTTAACTGTTACGGCCGGGCTCCACCGGCTGCAAACGTAAGCATCACGTCAGCGTAGCGTCGCGGCATATTCATTTGGGCTCCACTGACGGTGTACGGAAGCGACACGTAGAGAAGCCAGCGGGGTTGTTTGCCGTTTGCTGAGCCGAGAGGCTGCATGTAGGCTGCATGAAGTTATTACTTTATGCAGGGTTCCATAGAATACAATAAACAGTTTAAACTGTATTAAAATACATAGTTTAAACGGTAGGATCACGGATAAACATGGGTAAATGCATGAAAAAAAAAATCATCACATATCACCTCTGATAATGGTTTATTCATTTAAAAACACATTGTGCTAGTTTAGCACACTATTTCATGTAGTTTTTATCTGCTGGAGGGTCGCGTAGGAGAACGTAGCACGACAAAAATAGAAAAGCCACATAAAATAGAGAGTTATCGCGCGACAGAAGGGGGTTGTCGAGCCACTCCCGTTGCCAGTGGAGCCGCTGTAATTGATTAACAGGGGGGCGAGCTGCTACAGGACTCGCGCTGCAGACGTGTCGCGCCGTTTACGTGCCCGGTGGAGCCCGGCCGTTAGTTGAACTGTCACTTAAACAGCAGAAATCAGTTTTAAAGGTCAAAGTGAAAGCAGCTGAGGTGTCAGCAAAGTGTACGTAATGAAAGAACTGTAAGTGTCAGAGACAGAGTGAGTTATTGACAGTTGATTGGCTCGCATGCTGTGAAATACAAGATGGAACAGAGCAAAGCAACAGTGTGAAAAGTGTTTTACATCTTATCGGACTGGGAGGGCTGAGAGGCTGTTCCTCCGCTTTACCACCAACATACTCAATGCGAGACCTGCAAGTAAATTCTGAAAGAATGAAAAGAGCAATAAATCATTAATCTGTGATCCTATTGATATAAAAAATAACAAATGCTGCAGGTGTGTAAACACGCTCAAACACTTTGTTTCTTACCGACGTCCTCCTCTTCCTTGAATTTGATCTCATTGAACCTGTAGCCATAAATGTGTCCTGCTGGTACAGTATAGGAACTGTTGTCCTTCATCTTGACCTGATTAAACAATAAATACAGCAGGTAAACAAACAGGTGTACCACGACATCTTGTCAATGCCGTCCAACCAACTTAACCCAAAGCATGTTATCAATAAATAACAAGACCGACACACACCACAACTTAGAAACACAAAGCAAAAGGCACACAACACAAACACTCTGAAACTGTCAATTTTACATGCAAATCGCAGCTGGCTTTTTGACATATGATTATCATGTTAAGTTGCTGTTTTTTCTTGTTGGTTTCCAACCCCACCTTTCTTTGTTTTGTGAGAGTGAGAAACAAAACAGGTGTGTATGCTGATGAAGACACCATCAGTAAGTGTTGCCTTATAACAGACATTTGACAGACTGGGACGTCCTTCCAGGTGTTGGACTTGGAATGATTTCCAGGTCACAGACTGGAGGACAGACCGCTCTGTTTAACACTCATCACCATCATTCTGCTGTGGTTTCATACATGGTTATTATTCAGACCTCACCTTCAGAGAGAAATTCATTATGTTATAACGTGCTTCACAGGAGCCGTCCACTTTAGTTCTTCCATGGAGGTGGACCTCGTTTGTGTTGAACACAATCTTGCTCACAAAACCCAACACCTCTCCCTTCCTCAGTGTTGGCATGTGGACATGGTTTATCTTCCTACGGGTGAGAGAGGATACAGATGGTGGGAAACAGATGAAAGTTTCTTTTGGCTTCTATGTCATATGGTTATTGAGAAAGAAAGAGAGAAGCGGAGGTTAAAGCAGCAGATTTAGACTGTGAGAATAAGTCTGACTATTACAACCAGCACTAAACTCCTGGAGAGGGGCTGGACTCAAGGATACTCAAGAGCCCCCCGCTGAGTGCCACCATGCACTGGGTTCTCCCCGGTGAACAAGAGGGTAGCCTTGAATGCACTGAACAGTAGTACAGAGTACTCTGTCTTCTTGGAGTCTTTTGGCGGTGTCCTGGAAAGGATGCCGGTCGGGGACTCCATAGTTCTTCTGGGGGACTTCAACGCTCACATGGGCAATGACAGAGAAACCTGGAGCGGGGTGATTGGGAGGAACGGCCTGCCTGACCTAAACCCGAGTGGTGTTTTGTTATTGGACTTCTGTGCGAGTCATGGACTGGCCATAACAAACACCATGTTCGAGCACAGGGAGGTTCATAAGTGTACCTGGTACGAGAACACCCTAGGCCAAAGATCGATGACTGACTGTGGTTGTATCATCAGATCTGCAACAGTGTATCTATGGCAACTTACTCCGTGAAGGAAACCTGCTGGCTGGCAGGTTTGCTTCACCTAAGCCTGAGGCTGAGCGTGTAGCAGGTAGGAGAAACATGGCGTTTCCTTTAATGAATGAAGTCATGGATGTTGGTGCACAGTTTATACAGAGGCTGTTGCAAAAGGAGAAAGTGATTAGACCCAGTTTGGATGTCTCCCTGTCTCTATGACAATATCATCTCACAGTCTTTTATTTATCTAACAATCTGTGCACCCAGATATAGGCCTATCAAATATTACACATTGTGGATTTGCATTATCATCGGAGCAAATTTTATGCATTCCCACTGTCTCACTGGTTTGTCGGGACGTAAGAAAAGTGACTCTGGCTCTGAAAAGACTTTTGACCGCTTTTTTGTGGTTTTCCCTGGACATGAATCAGAATCAATTATCAAAGTATTTGCAACAGAGCATCAGTGGCTTAGTGGGTGAAGCGGACGCCCTATGATCAGACGCCCGGCGCCTGATGCAGCGGCCGCGGGTTCAAACCCAGCCTGCAGCCTCTCGCTGCACGCCGTTCCCTCTATCCCCTCAACATTACACTGTTTTGCCATTTAAGGCAACGAAAGCCCCGAAAATAATCTTAAAAAAAAAAAGATATTCCACAGAACTGCAGGTTTGTCAGTGTTAATCAGAAATGAATCTACGTTAGCCTACATGATGCAGTGATTCATGAATACTTTTCATTTAGGCTATTCAAAGATTTCGCGGTGTAACTGGTTCATTTATGGGACTCAGCGTCCCATAATAGCTCCATCTGAGCATAAAGGGGATTACGTGAATCAGAAGTCATTTTACAGCAGTTCAGCAATTCAATTAATCTCAGCCTAATATTGACAGAATGAATAAAGTATAAGCAAAACTTTTACCAGTCTGTACAACATTTTTGTGTTTGATATTGTGTTGCTGATCAGATTACAGCTGAATAAGATGATACAGCAAATTGTATTAAGATATATGAACTCTGTGTAATGTTTCTGTATTTTCTGTATATTAGACACATTAAGACATCACATTACATAACATCACTTCACATAACCTACTAACACACTCTGCAGTCTGTTCCCATCACGCCTCATGCTGTTTAGCTGCAGCTGACGTGTTAGTTTTTTGTTTTGGTTTTTTTTTTTTATTTCGCGGTCATTAAAATCTCCGACTCAGCTGGGATGAAACAAGCGGCTTTCTCTGATCAGCTGTTCTGGAACTGAAAACTCAGAGTTTTTCAGCTCAGGCTCAGTCAACTCAGAGGTCAGGATTAGGCTCAGAGTTTGTTGAGCCTGCTTCCTGAAATAGGGCCCTGGTAGACGGACATGTTTTGTTGTGTTCAAATGAATCCAGGTGAACATGACAGGCTTTGGGGGGAAGAATTACAATGACTGCATACAACAGCCGGCACCTCCCCCACAACGGCGTTCTGTACTAAAACCTCTCTAATATTGTTCTGCTTCACTTTATCAGAATCAACCTTTGCAGGGTTAATGGTTATGATGATAAGGGTTATGATGTTGTATATGGTATATATTTGTAATCCTTGACCATTAAAACATCGAGCCATACATCACCTATTCTGCATATTTGGTTCAGGAAATATGATAAAAAATACATTACTTAGTTATGGTTAAAAGTAAAAAGGCCACCACAAGGCATTTTTACAGTGGCTCAATTTCTGAAAATGTTCAGGGTCCAAAACTGTACAAGTGTACCAAGTTTCATGCTTTTATGAAAAGGTGAGCATCATTTTCATATGTCACCTGCACTACACTCCAGATGTTGTAAATCACATGACCTGAGTTATTCATTGTCGTGTGTAAACCATGTGTGGACATAATAACGGTGTGCTGGGCCCTTTGACCTTGTAAGGTAAGTGACGTAGGCAGTAACGAAATCTGAACACAAGTGGTCAGCAGGAGACACATGATAGACACAGGTGTGAACAACAATGTGTCTCAGCTGTGCTCACAGAAAAGCATGTTAATAGCAGGTGTAAACAGGCTCACAGAGACATACTGGCCAAGACATATCTCCCTCATCTTGCTTAAGTTTGCTGTCTTTGCATTAATGTCGACAGATGAAGTCTCTCTGTGTCTGAGTGCTCCTGCACTGACTCCAGCTGAAGCTATGTCAACACCTCCTTGTACGCTGGCGCTCCCAGAGCTCCGGCCAGTGTGCTTGTAATCCTTGATGAGGGTTGTTTCTGGAAAATATGGTAGATACTCTAAGCCCAGTATTGACAGGTGCAGATTGTGTTCTTTGTGCATGTGGGTACGTACCTTCAAACTCAGAGAATCCAGCGAATGCTGGGACAAGATTACCAAGAGTGGAAGTCATCACCTCATACTCAGGGGGAAAAATTGACTTCTTCTTCTTTTTGACCAGTGTCAGGAGATCCACCTTTTCTTCTAAACTTCCATGGCGGATGAGATTTTTTTTTGCGTCCACTTGATGGAGAATCTCCCGAGTATGTTCCTGAAACATCTTCTGTGTACAGATACAGTGGTCAGTAAGTAAGTAGCAGCCTCGGACCTCACTCAGACAAAGAAAGTATCTCAAGCAAATGGGAAATTATAAATCCTAAAAGACAGAATTTAAAATAATGATGAGAGCAAAGCTTTTAAGAACTCTTAACTCCTTTTAAGAATCTTTATGGTCTCATCTTTCAGTGTAAACTGTACTGATCTTGATCCAAATGCAGGCTGATAAAATACCCTTCCTGACATGTGATGATAAACATGGAATTAAAGTAGATCTCATGTCTTACCGTGTTGGAGTCTGCGATTATAATAAAGCGCACTCCTCAGTGTTATAACAGCAGCCTCACTCAGACACGTCTGCAGTGCTGTGAGCTGATTTGTTCATCTGCTTACTTTCATACACAGCATAGTTCAAAATGATGATCTCATATTGGCAAGGAATACAATAGAGGTGATTACAGACTGCGAGTGCAAGTAGAAACAAGTTCCTGAGAACCTGGTGTAAAACACACACACACAACACTGGTATTTGTTAACAGGTGTGGACTGGCTTTAAGAATTTAAAGTGAAAACAACACACCAGTACTGTCACTCACAACTGTAGACTGACTGTCATCACATTATGTTGGTCCCACACATGTAATCATCATCATTATCATCAATTACAGCACGTCCTCTGCCTCACTGCCGGCCACTACAGACCACCTTGCTGGCTGAGACGGATCCCCAGTGAGCGGCCACAGCAACCTGAATCCAGCTCACACAGCCCCCAGCTGCAGGGGACCAGACAGCCCCAACTCCCCGCTGGCTCAGCAAACTTTCTGTTGCTGCTGCTACACAGTTTAGACCTGGCACTGCCGCTGGCCACCAGTCTGCTGTGACAAATGGTGCTGTGGAGTTTATGCTCACCAAATTCAAGCTGCAACAGCCACCGACTGCAGCTTTGTCTTCTCAGCTGCTGCTCGCTCACCTCCTAGTGAAGCGGTCCACAGTGGTGGGGAGCGAGGCAGAGGGACCGTGGGGTGGTGAGCAGCTAATTCTTGTCTCATTTGTGATCTGATAAACAGAGTTGAAGCAAGAGAAGAAGGGGCTGAGCATGTGCACTGTGTGCAACTCTACAATGAAGTAAGATGAAACAAATAAATGTATGGGAAACCCTTGGTTACTATATGAAGCCTGTGCATATGACCATACACTGTCAGAAAATAAGGTACAACTGAGGTGCACTTTTGTTCTCTAAGGTACAACTGCTGGTGATGTACCCTCACAGGTTCTGAGTTGATCCACATGGTACTTACATGTACCATTTTTGGGGTTAAAAGGGTACATTTAATTTCCAAAATGATCAAGGTTCCACATCTGTACCATTTTTTCCACAAACAGGGGTACAATGACAATGTGAGGCTGTCAGTGGATGAATAGAGGGAAAATCAGAGGAGGTTTTTGCATTGGAATTGAGAAATTTTGTTCATTTACACCAAGGGTGGGCAAACTCGGGGGCCACAATGAGCTTTATGATGTGATACAAATGTAAAAAGTACAATACAAATGTAAAAGTAAATTTACATTACCTTAAAGTAAATGATTACATTCGATTTCAGTGAGAGCAGTGTTGTTGGTCATTCTTTTTGCCAGTGCATCAAAGTTTGTGGTCTTTGCTAATTGTTGGATAATTTTGTTCCAGTATTTGATGGGCTGGATTCAAAAGCCCAACATGCCATACGGCCCACAGGCCTTGGTTTGGCCATGCCTGGGTCACAGTGTTATAAGAAGCAATAGACATAATATTGCAAATCACAAATGATCTAGAAATAATTAATTACAACTATTTCTATTATCTTAACAAATTTGCTTTGGTATGGTTTGCTTGGTATCATATTGGTTTGAGCTATGTCACCTTAATTTGGTTTTATTTATACCTGGATCAGAAAGAAAATCAGTGGAATCCAGTGGCGGCTGCTGGTCTTTCAAACAGGGGAAGCTCACTTTAAGTTTACATTATAAAATAATAGGCAGTAACTTATAAAAGGAGCATTTAATTGAAGCTGTTTTTCAACCACACTCATGCCATAGAACCACAGCAAAACACACCTCAAAGATTTTCAGATGGGTGAAAATACCTGTTACTTTTCCCCACCCTTTGCACCAAATCAATCTGAGGTGTTGATCTGCCCTGCTGTAACTCTAAGTTTCTCCTTGTAAGGAAGACTATCAAATGGCTTCGCCAAAATCCGGTCGATAATATTCAAATTGTCTGCCATTATGTGCAGCTTGCTAGCTCACTCGCTTGCTGGGGCTGCTGCGCGAGGCTAGTGTGACCGCCTGTGAGTGCTTTGGGATGGTGGAGGGGCTCACAGCAGCACCCGCTGCTCGTTGGGGACAGTAACTGCAGAGCGACAGAAGTCAGAGTCTCCAAACACGAGTACAGTCTCCAATAACACTAGAAAAAGATGCTAGATTTGTCCCTAGTCGTTTTTAAATAAGAAAAAGTCACTAAGAGGACTGGAAAAGTCTCCAAATCAACTCGGAACAACGGAATGAAACTTGAAAACTGCTCCGGTGGTGTTTTATATTTCAAGATCGCTGATTCGCTCATTTTGCTGTCAATCAAAAAGGATTCAGCCTCAGACAGATCATCCAATCATCATGCAGAAGCTCAGTGTCCAGGCCAGCCGAGGCCAGCCCACTGCTCCATAGACCCCCAGAGACGCTGAGCGTCCGATGGGCGGGACAAAACCGAGCATTTATCCAATGACTGTCTAGTTTGGCTGCAGTGGAACAACCCACTCTGTGCTTCCCCACTGAAGTCTTTGGACGCTGAGCTTCGACACTGTTTAATGCACTGTGACGCTACGGGAATGAATAAGAGAGTCGCGTCAGTGACCTGTGATAAGTAGCTGATTCTGAACAAAAATTGAACGCGTTCTAGCGCATATGTAGTCAATGAAATGCAAACACAACAGCACATATTTGACCACTTATTTTTTGACATTTTAGGGGAAGCTGAGCTTCCCTTGCAGTCTTAGAGCAATCGCCACTGGTGGAATCACACATCACTAATATTTAAGATCAACTGAGCTGAGACTATCATATAAAATAGTTTTAAAAATTATGCTGGAGATAACGCTGATGATGAAAAAGGATCTTTATTTTTTTTACTTTATTTAAATAATAAATATACAAATTATGTCAAACACTAAACACATAAGCTCTCATGAAAAAGGATCATGACCCCTGATACATGCGCGTTCATGACGCAATGGCACATGTACGTGCATCAACCACTCCTCCGAACAGTCAGCACTTGGCTGCTGTCACGTCGAGGCAGAGATGGAGTGGTCGACGGAAGAACTTCTACTGAAGCTGGAGGAGGCTGGGATAAATTTGACGAATGAAGAAGCCCAGAGATTTAGAGGTAAGTTCATTTCAAAATGAACTGAAGTTGAAGATATATAGAGCTTTATATGTTCGAAGCAGCCTTTCGACGAAACTGAAAAAAACAGTGACTAAATCTTCAGCTAGCATGCTAGTCAACATGATGCTAGCTCGGAAAAACTTGGACATTCAGCTTCAGTATAAAAGGTCAACATGACCAAATGGTTGTTGAGACATCTTTTGTGCTTTGTAACATTAAGTTTAATCCACGGGGGGTTGTGTTGTTGGATGGAACTTGTTTTATTAATGCTAAATGTTAACTTAGGTAGCAAACGTTAACATTAGCTAAAATTTACTGATATCATTGCGCGGTAATTTAATATCACGGTAGACTAAAATGTACCTTTAGGGTCCAAATTTATACCTCTTTAGTAACGGTCGAGCTGTTTTTTTCTCTTTTTCCTTTTTTTTTCGCAGGTCTCAACTCGTTTTTTTTCCCCTTCCCCACTCAGTTTTCACCGCAAGAACTAACATTAATTACAAGATGGCTCCGGGCTTCAATTTCTGTTATTATAAGTTATTATGGACACTGTAAGATTATGTTGTGAGGGAGATTCTAACCTAACATGTATCATGGTAGAAGGCCATGTTGACAGTCAATGACAGCGTGAGTCCTTTTTTTTGGTGGGGGGGGGGGGGGGGG